GTCATTTTGAGTAAAACAAAAAACATTTACTGTCAAAACAACAAGGGTTTTCTCTCAAGCACAAAATGAAAGCAGATATGTCTGCCTGATTTATTTTGGCATCTGCCTAGCAGTTAAATAGGACACCTTTTAATTTGTCACTTCCTTAAGATTCATTTAGGCTGGAAAAGTAAATCACCAATGCTTGGTTTCAGCTAAACTTGAACTAGTAGGAGCAAAAAGGTATACTTATTCTTGATGCTTTAGACATAGATCCATTCAAAAATGCAATTAAAGAAGAAACTATATATTTAGAATCATACTTACAATAGTAATAGCTAATGGAATTTTGTTTTTAAACTGGAGGAATGCATAACCTAACTTACAATCAAAGATCAAGGGGGAGGTCTAGGAAGAGGCATAGAGGGCAAAGCTTTCTTACAAGACTTTGTAGAATTATATTTAAAAGAGTGAATATCCAACTTTTTAAAGCTAAGATAAACCATGAGTAAAGAGACTTAGAAGTCAAATCTCAAATTTGCTAGCTAGAGAACTGATCTCAACAAATATCTATAAATTAGGGATATTATCTGCCCCTCACCCCCAGTTATTTAGAGAATGACCCAAGGCAGTGGTCATTAAGTATCTGGCACCATCCCTATCAGGCATCAGTTGCTGAACAAGTGTGAGTTGCATCCACATGTCTGATGTTATTCAGAAAACCTCTGTAACATTTCTTGGCAAGCCAACACAAGAGTGAGCATTTCTCACTGTATGAAGGTTGCTTCTTCTATCTGTCCCAAAGGAACTTTGCTGGGATCCAAGTCTGTTCTCTCATTTTCTCAAAGTTTACGGTAACCTCTGTTTAATACTTTCTGTATAATGAGGCCAGATTGAGGCCATGCATTTATGCCACCATTAAAATAACCATTCTTAAAAAGCATTTTTTGGCATCTCAATGACCTCACTGCAGTCTATAATCTGGTTGGTTATTAGATAGACGAACAGATTTAGTTTCAAAAGAAATATGACAGACACATATACACATACACATACACATATATACATACATGCATATATATGTGTGTGTGCGCGCGCGTGTGTGCGCGCGTGTGTGCGCGCATATATATATATATATATACATACATATATATATATATATATAGAGAGAGAGAGAGAGAGAGACACTCACAAATACGTACATGGTTTCTATTCTTCAATACATACAAAGGTCCAGGTCCAGTTTCTGGTTTCTTATTTGTTTGTTTATTTGGTGTGAAGTGTGTGAGGAACAGGAAGAGAAACAAACACTTCGTTCTTTGGTTCCCTTAAAGCTGATGATGTTGAATGAACTATGGCAAACTCTGAGTCTTAATTGACCTTGGTTTTCCAACCATAGTTTAGCAGGGATTTTTTTTTTTTTTGGTAGAAAACAAACCCACGGGGTGAGTCCTGGGTTTTTGCAATTTTCAAAGTCCATGCTAGATGGAGTCCCAAGACCCTGTCTACTCAGAGCTTGCTTTTTCTGTCATCCTCCGCATTCTCTGCTGTGGCTGCTTTCCCAAGAAGAGCAGCTGTCTGGATTCAACTGAGGATGAACTGATCTAATCCTGAGAGCAACTTTCTCTTTCTGGCCCAGGAAAGCAGAGGCCTTCACCTGGTCAAATGGAGGCTTTGTCAGAAGCAGTTTCCTCTTGCAGGGCTTCATCAGCATATCCAGTAGAAACTTGGGAATAAAACCAGGCTAAGCTGTTGTTCTCAAACATGTTTATTTGTAACAGTTTTACATGGTGTGTTACAGAAATTAATGGAAAATTTCTAAAAATTTTGCTGTTCTGTTGTATGCATTGTACATAAAGTTAAAAATAATGTGTCCATATATGTTAACAAACTGTCATCTGAGGTAAAGTTAAAGTAGGTCTAGAAATGTACTGCAACAGTCATTTTCTCTTTCTCATCTTTATTAAAAAAATATGTGTCAGAACACAGAAATTGAAATGAACCAAACCCACAGAGTAAACATTTTTTTTTTTTAAAAGAAGGTGCCCGGTACATTACATGATAGGGTTTCAGTAGACACTGGGATGAGTACAAATTATCAAAAAAGTCTTGCGGCATGGAAAGATTGAAGAGCTATGGGGTATGGGGACAGAATGACAGGTGGCGTTTCCCTGGTTTTAAAATTTAAAGTGACAAATTTAGTGCTAGTGGAGGATGAGGAATTAACAGTTGCACACATGGATTTTCTGTCCATCTAACCGGAACTGTGCAGACTCCCCACGGCCTTTTGGTATCGGCGCCTCAGCTTTTATTTGGAAACTTCACTGTATTCCCAGGATGGGGATGGTTCTGGGCTCACCAAATAGTGCTTGTTAAAAATCAGAATTCTGCCAACGATTACCTAGATGGCAGCTTAAAACTTGATTTCCCTCCCTTTAATGCATCACATGGGCATCTCCTATAAGTTCAGAGTCAGTTATATTTTCAATCACAGTCAATGAGTGATGTCAAGTCCATTGGACTGTCACTTCCTGCTGTGACTGGAACTCCAGGCAGTATTCCCGAAACAGCAATATCAGCCAGAGTTCACTTTGCACATATCAGAAGCAACCCAAAGGATCATACAATGGTGTGATACTGCAGGACAGACTCAAGACAGCCATGTTGAGGGAGAAGATAGCACCACTTGTTCAGAATCAGAATCATAGACAACACAGCAATTGGAGCCGTTTGCCAACGGGAGCTGCCTATCTTATCAAATCCCCAGAAAACACAATAGAACTGGTTTCAGAACGACTCTCATGGTTAGCGAACCTTTCCTGTTCCCCTTGGTGTAAAAGGATCACCTAGTCACAAAATGTACACACATCCCAGAGAAATCACATGGACCAATAGGTGATAGCTACAGAGGGAGGTAAATGGCCCTTCTCATTGTTTCTGGATCTTCAGAACATCCACAATGGGACATTTACATATATTCTGTAAGAAACATTTGGTCAACATACTTAACTGGAAAATAAATTAGATTCCAGTAACCTGATGGGATAAAATTTGAGCTTCAGAGTAAAAATCACCTTGACATCAATTTTCTCTTTGTTACCACGTGTTCCTCCTTCCGAATTGTTTCAGTTTCTGTTCATATGAAGAACCAAAGTACACAGGCCCATTTAAGCCAATCATATCAGTGTAAATTATACTTTTCCAATTTTAAAACCAAGTAGCAATAATCACCCCCAAATCCAATTAATCACGTTTCCTTCTTAGTGTTAAACCACTAAATTCAACATACTGTAACTGCATAGGAACATCAGGAAAACACATTTGACCTGTAGAACAATTCTCTGTAGGGCAAAAATATATAGATTCTTTATGAAAATCATGTGCTAAACATACGAACCAAACACTGCACTTTTTGTCTCATAAATGTAAAAAAAGGAAGCTTAAACTCTTCTGTTTCACATACAAACAGCCCAGTGATCTCTAGGGGGTAGGCAGAAGTGGAGAGGTGGGAGAGGGCTTCAGAATCAGAAGACAGGCCCACACCACGGAACTGTCTTTTTGTGTTTCACCGAGGGCGGGTACTAGAGAGGAAAGGCCAGGTGATGGCATCACATGCTCCCTTCCTGTGCATTGGCTGCTGATTGGCCAACTGCTCCTGCCAGCTGTTCCTGAACTCCAGCTTCCTACCATCTGCTCCAGAATAACATCTGGAAGGTGAGCCCCATCCATCAAGTTTGTCACATCTTGCACTCAATCTGCTACCTTCTCTACAGTGTAATGGCATTATTAAAAAGCATTTTCATTAACATATTTACAAAAAAAAAAACAATCTGGCCTCTTTTTTCATTAGAACTCCTTAAAGCCATTTCCCTTAAATATTTAAAGAGTTTAATGGTAAGGTTTTTTTTTTTCCAAGTTATAAAATAAAAATCCCATTTGAATTTTCTGATGTACAAAAAGAGATAGAGATGAACCATTGTGACCTCGGAATCAGTTTTGTTATTCTGAATATTCATGTCACCATTGTTCTGGTAGAAAGTCAGTTTTTGAGATCCAAAACCACATTACCAGGATTGTACCAGAATTATTTGGCAAATGACTTTTCTTTGAAAATGGCACGTGGAGAAGACACTTGTCTGCATAGCATCACAGCAGCAAGATATCGGAAAAATAAAAAATATCATTTTATTGTACTTAAGAGTTTAGAACTTCTTAGGAAATCAGATGCATTTTTCACCTTTCTCATCAATGGGATTTGATGTCCTTTCCTACTTGCAGAATGAAGATCCAAACTAAAAGCTGTCTCTTCACCAGGATGCAAGACAGTAAATGTTTTGGCAACATTCTTGATCTTAAAGAATCATCAACCACTTGTCTCGTTCATGAGCCTTTTTCTCCAGTTAGATTTTTTCACTCCTATCTAAAAAAGGTCAAAAGCAATACAAAAATTTGTACACCCATTAATTTTCAAACATGACAAAGAAAGGAAGGGTGGGTGGGGGGGGTGGCAGACCAGGTCCTGTGGAGTGAAGAAAAAGCATCACCATATGTCAAAAGGCATATGGATGATGACACTGTAGTCACAGAGGGCCTCTTGCTTATGCCTAGCAGAAGTGAGTGCCAATCCTGTTGTAACTCTCTGAGATCTGTCATTCCAAATTTGATGTCTCTACAGTAATCAATACGTAGAGAGATAAAGAAAATGATGATTTTGCATACTGGGTCATTTTCAACCCATGCTAAGAGAGCTCAGGATATTTGTTGGGCAAGCATTTTCTTCGTTTGTAATTTAATACTGGGTATGATTATTTTATGCTTGTGTGTATGTTTTGTGCTGCCATAGACATCCACCATTGGTTGCCAAAAATTCTTAGTTCCCTCTTCCAAACGAGTTCCACTGGGGCAATCATGAATTTCTTCATGGGATGAGGTGAAGTGAAAGAATACAAGAGAGCCTGTCGCGATGCTGATTTCCATGCCAGTCTTGATGCACCCGCCACGAGCCCACACTGATGCTATTTCTTAGGTCTGATGATCTGCGCATAGAGAGGCTCCAGCTCCTAAGGATAGAGGGACAAAATGAGACCCATTCTTTTCCAGGCAAGATTTTCTGAGACAGCTTGGGAAGTAGAGTCTGGGATTAGAACGGAAAGGTGACAGTTTGTGATGGATGACTTAGGTTATTTTTGGATTATTTGATCATGGTGCATGTCATTTTGGCTATTTCTATTTTTATCCTCAAGAAGAACTACTCACCCAGTTTTGTTCTTATTTTCTAGCTGAGTCTGATGGCCCTTTGAGGAAATAGCATGGTATAGTAGAGAGAGCTGGACAAGCTGTGTAATATGGGTGAGAAATGTCATTTTTGAGCCTCAATTTCCCCAACCATGAAATGGGAATAAAACTATTTCTCCTCCAGGATCTTGAGAGAATTAAAGATCATATATAAATTATCTAGCGCAATGTTTAGAGTAACAGCTTTTCAGAAAATGGTAACAATTATGAATTAAGTGGGTATTTTCCAGCACAGTTTCATGGATGTCCATTTGAGACCACTGAAATTTCATTTTCAAACCGCTCTTGTTTCTATAAGCAGTGATGATTGGGTACATTTTTGAGCAAGAATAACAGTGACTGTACCTTTTGCTCTATGGTAAATTTTCTGGGTCTTGCTTCTATTCTAACTACTGTTTCAGGTTTGGTCAGTCATTTGTCTGCACCTAGTAGGGTGTTCTGAGACACACACAGGAACTGTCATTAGTAGAAGACAGAGTAAATCTTCCAACCAAATGTAGATGGGAAGTAATGCTGGCCCCTGTCGAAATCGCGTCAAACTTCAAGATCATGTTCCATGGCCCAGGGTGTACTGGCCAGGCAGATCAGATCAACATTCTGGTTGCAAGCATGCAAAGGCTCTCCTCCTAGCATCGACTTTTAAACTGTCACTCTCGGCTGAAATGGACACAGTGACATCTTCATTTTGGTATGTTTTATATATTAGGCTGCCTCCTGCCTTGTGAGTAAAGATACTTTTCATTTATTTTCTTGAACCATCAGATTGAACTTCAACTCTATGATCCCCTGTATGTGTCTGGCACTATACACAGTATTTTCAAGCACACAGCCTTTTTAAATTCATCACAGCAACCTTGTAAGGCAGAATCTTTATCTCTTCTGAAAATTAGAAATAAAGCATTGAGAAGTTAAATCATTTGTCCATGGTCACACAGCTAGTAAATTGGGGAAATCAGACCCAAAAGTAGGATCCAGTGCTTTTTATTGTAACTACAGCCATTATAAAAGTGATGAGCTGCTCTATTTGCAGTGCTATAGGGTGCTTTGGAGTTTATCGGCACCTTCATGTATTATTTTTGTCTGTCTAATTGTCCTGGTAGTGATTTTTCTACTTTCCATCTCATTTGCATATAAAAATTGAAGGCCAGAGAGGTTGTGTGATCACAAGGTCAAGGTACTACCTCTTGTGTATTCAGTATATCATATTACTTGCTTTTATTGTAAAGTGGGAATGGACTACAAGATAATTTTGTTCAGCCCTATCATTTTGCAGATGAGGAACTGAAGCCCAGCGAAGACCTCCATGAACAGAACCTGGCACCCTTGCGCTCAGACCCTGTGTATTTCCCTCTAGAACTTGCTACACTATGTTCTTCCAGGGAGAAGGAGCTCTCTACCCTTGGGGGCACCGTGTTCTGTAATAAACTCAGTGATAAATTGTCCCTCCAAGCTTCCCACCCATGGGACATCTTTCCCACCTTGGAAACATAAAGTGTCATCCTTCCAGATGTCCCTGCCGCCACATCCTTCCTCTGGGTTACCACCTGCCAGGGCCTGCTGTCCTTTTATATACGTGGAATAGCACAGTAAGTCCTCCATGAATTGGATGACTGAATGAATGATTATGATACAATTTCTAGTTTCTTCGCTGTTTTAATCCCTTTGTCCTAGATACACTCCACTTTGGCTTTCTTCTCTTAAAACCTAATCTAGCAGAATGTGTGACAAGATGATTTATTAAGCAATGAATCTATTCTTTGCCAATGTCTTGAAATGTTGCAAATACTTGTATAAGGCTATATTTCTAACTTTACTGTGTGTTTGTGTTCTGGAAGTGGGGTGGGTGGTGGTGCAAAGTGGTTAACTACATCTACTGGGACAAAATGTTTGCTTTTGCCTATGGGGAGGTACAAAGGTGCACTGTAATCTTCTCTGGGTAGACTTTCATAGCCCATTCTTGTTTCTGGATGCCCTAAGAAGTCAGGTTGCCTTGATCTCACCCTATAATTAGTTCTATTCTAATTTTGGAATCTAATTTATTCAACTGAGAGTGACACCTAAAAACAGAAGAAGACAGCAGGCTCATACAGGGTAATTAATGCCACACTGCATTAACTTTCTGCAGCTGAGATAAATATTCACACATCTCCTGCTTGCCGGAATTTAGCTTCAAATACCCATCACAACAGCGGTAACGACTGCAGTCAACTCTCAATTATCCCCACTAATGAAGGGGAGCAGTGGTGTGGAAAACCCCAAGCAGCAGATAATCCCAAAGTCTGACACTGTGATGCATTATACGTTTTGGCAATAGCTTTACCTTCCTTGTTACAGAATCTTAAGACTGTCAAAGCTAAAGGGGAGCTAAGAAATCATTTGGTCCAGAAATTTCTGACCTGGCTTCTGGCAAGGTCACCATGGGGTCTTCAGGCTATTTTCGATATTCCAAAAGCCCTCAGTGGAATCACACATGAACAGAACATGCTGATGGTGGTTTTTTTTTTATGTATTTGTTTTCTTTGGGTAGAATTGACCACATCTCTGCCCTGCTTTAAATCCTTCAAAGGTTCCCCATCATCCACAGAGTAAGGTCCTATGCTGGACATGTAAAAGGCATTAGTCTCCTAGTCCATTAGAGCTAATAAATACTCGCCCACACCACGAATCAAAACTCAAACTTCGGGTCACATAAATCATGTTTAAGCAATTTTTTCTTTATGCCTCTGCCAGAGTGAGCTTTCTGAGTGGATTTGGTCATGCCAATCTTTTTGAAATAGACTGCCTCCTTATTACCCCAATGATAAAGCAATCCCTTCCAGAAGGCACAGAAGCCCCTTCCAATATGGCTCCATCTTCTACCTTAACCTCTCTTACTTTCTCCTCCTCCTATGCCCAACCTTTCCATAGCCCCCTGATGGTCACCCAGCATGACAGGATTTTCCCATCTCTGAAACTTGGCTCAGGCAATTCCTTCTCCCTTCAGGGAGTCTCCATTCTGCAGCTGGGAGTTCATCCTCTCTACCCAACTCAAATACAAGGGGTTCCAGGATTCTGCAGGTGTCATGGCCACTCAGCTCTGGACTCTGGTGGTGTCCTGTGAAGACTTCTGGCTGCTGCCATGCTCCCTTCTAGGAAATTCTACAGTGAGCACCATTGTGCCTCTCCCATCAGTGCCCACACTCTGAGGAGAGCTTAGAATATGGGCGGGTACTGATCAACAATGGGAAGAATGAGGATTTGAGTGAGTCAATGAACAATCTTCTCTTAGGGAGTTGGCAATACTTATAAATATTAAGTTCTCCAGTCATTTGGCCAGATGAATATTTTCATTTCTAGAGGACAATACACCATACAGTAGAAACTAAAACAAAATCAACTCCCATCAACTTTTGACTTATGTTAAATACAGTGGTTTCTGGGAGAACACAGATGTGGGCACATATTTCTACACTGAAGACCACCAAGTATACCTGTATTTGAACTTGGGTTTGTTACTCATTGCAGCAAGCAAAAGCATGGGGCACCTCTGCAACAGGGGGCAGGAAGGAGCTTATTAAAGGACTGAGGCTTATGTCAGATGTTTCAGGGGAAGATCAGGAGAGTAAGGGTAGGATGGGTAGCATGCTGTTAGGAAGTAATTCTGGAATCTGAGAGGCAGGAAGAGCAGAGCAATGGGGAAGCCAGGAGAGGGGTAAGCTGGGCCATTTTTACAGTTTGGATGACATGAATGTTTGTGGGTTTGTATGTGGCTACCATGTGCTCTGATTTGTGCTGACCCACAGTCACTGAGTGGCTCGCCTGATGCCAATGTTCTGAGAGATGTTCACGTTCAATGGCACACCAGGGCCCCATGGGGCCTGGGCTCCCTCCCAGGTGTCGGTTGCTCTTCCTTACCATCTCGCACTTAGGAGTCCTGCGACCCTCTGCAGGGTACTCACAGCCTCTGAATGGCAGTTTTTCTAATTGGTTACAGGCTGCAATTCTCTCTCTGAGAGGTATGGTGGGGGTTGAAGAAGCAAATATATGTTGATTGTCTAGCACAGAATCTGGTATATAGGAAATACTCCAAAAAAGTTAGGCCCCTTATGTCTGGGTGTGTGGCTTAATCCTCCCTTTGTAGAAGAGATTTTTAAGCCTGATAATCATCTGTAGGTGACTTTCCAAATTGCTTCTCCAACAAAAGACACAGGTGCACCCACAACTGGGCTCTGCTATGAAATCTAACAATGGTGCTAGGTCAGCCGGGGAAAATGCAGAAAGAACATGGGGTTAATCTAAACCGTCTGGTTGCAGGGCCCAGTGGACAACAGACATTCACACATGTTTGCAGACTAAGTATGAATTATGTGCTCACACCTCCAGCAGCTGAGCAGAAAAACAGAATTCGAGTAATAGCGTCAATTTATAGAAAAGTTTAGTCTGTAAAGGACCATCCTGTAGCACCCAGGCATCATTCCAGGGCTGCACCCCAGAAGCGAGGTTCCCCACAGATTGGTAACTTGGCCAAGGTCACTCAGCCACCACAAGGCAGACCAGGATGGTTGTCTTGTTTATTTAGCATCTTGTATGGTGGCTATCTATTTCCCAGCCTTTTTTAAGTCTACTGACTTCTCCACCTTCCATTTATAGAATGCCAAAGCAAGAAGGGCCCTCGGTCAGACAGCTCCTTTCCTGCACAAGCTAATTGAGTCTCCCGACACAAGGGTCATTTTCCCCCAAAGTCTGTAGGAAACAACAGAGAACCTGAGGGAGGTCCAAGGTCTGG